TCATTACCTCTCTTCTTTTATATACCAGCGTACCCTATTTCTAGTAAGAACTTGAACATTCGCCAAAGTACATGATAGTTCTAGAAACGTTGCGTCACGGTGGTCATGTGACTCGCTGACGCAACAATATTTTCCAAAACATTGCATATCAAGTAACCATAAACCGAATAGAAAAACTGGTGTAATATTCTCAGGTTTACTGATTAACCTTACAGAAAAGGTTTCTAATCATAAATAAGCAAATGGTAAGAAACATATCACAGAATCAAAAGTAAAAATTAGAGTTGACTTAGTTAAAGAAAAAAGATTGAATGCAATGTTGAACAAAATAAAATTGATCTTTATTCAAAGCAAAACAACAAGTCAAAAGATAAGTGCATAAAAAGTCTGAATCACTTCTAGATAACAGAAAGGTTTGAATTTTCAATTTATTATGAAAATAGTCTGTTTCTTATAGGCTGAGAAAGTATAACCTTGTGATACATCCAGGTGAAACCGAATTAGCTTTTGAGCTATATTGTATAGATTTGCTACATAACAGGTGACTAGCTCAGGATATTAATTACAGAAAAGTACTAAATCTCTTATTAATTGAGTCAATGTAAAATGAGGTAATGAGACTGGACACGAAGTATAATACAAAATTAACAACTTTTATTTGAACATTAAGCACAAACACAATATGTGTACTTGACATTACTTACAAAGAATGATTACCATTACTGAATCCTTTATATTCAACTTGTTTGTTTGTAGTTATGCACAAAGCTACACAATGGGCTATCTGTGCTCTGCCCACCATAGGTATCAAAACCCGGTTTCTAGTGTTGTAAGTCCGCAGACATACCGCTGTGCTACTAGGGGGCATATATTCAACTATTCAAGCTGAAGCTATGACCAAGAGTGTACTGATCAAATGATGTTCCAGACCAGACTGATCAAATGTAATGTTTTTAGCACATAAGAAACTTTGCATTTACCCTGGACAACTAGTGCTACTAATGGACTGTTCATTCTCATTACTATATAGATGGTACCATAACCTTTAGACATTACCTGAATAACACTGTTGATACCCTTACACAAAATGTTGTATTGAGCAATATCCATCCTGGACAGTATCAGGTATTATCCATTCCAAGAACAACAAAGGAACAAAAGTAGTTTAAAACAAAAGCAAGTTAATGGCTTTTTCAACTAAGTATTATGTGAAACCTGTACTATAATTGTACCGATATACAGAAACCCATGGTATTTGCAAATACCACAACATTATACATGGAAAAACAATAACATTACCCCTCTCATATTGCAGGTGCTTACAATATCACTAGTCATCCCATTGGTGAAAATATGGAAGAAATAGTATCTAGATACTCGATATAACTAGATAGCATAATTATATTTCTTGATTATTTTTCTGGCCGATATGTTTCGTTGTTTGATGCAGTGTTTCAGTGACACAAATAATGATAAGAACAATATAATCATTTAGAATAATTAAGTAGGCTTGTCAAAAGCTACTCTGAATTCCATGTAGTGATTGGCTAACCTACAATAAGATTAGAAAATATTTATGCAGTTCAATGACTGACTTATTGTTCAGATAATAATCACTTTAAATAATGTTCAAGAAATACAAGATTTTTAGTTCAGTATAAATTTTGAATTTTTGTTTACTTGTTGTAGTACATAGCTAAATAATGGGCTATCTGCACTATGTACACCATGGGGAATGAGCTCCAAGTTTTAGTGTTGTAATTCTGCAAGATTACTGCTGACCCATTGTAGGATATTTTGGGGTTACCTAACCACATCAAGGGCTAGAGATTTTAGAGTTAATTCATTTGAACCATTACAATTTTGGTTTAAATAGTTTGGATTATGGTCAGGGCATACAAGTCATGCACCGCACGGCCAATCAGAAAACTAAAAATTCATTTCATTTCACAACAATTTAGAATCATTTTTCCATTTACACAGTGTTAACTCTACACGATGGGAAATATTTCTGTGGCCAACGTGCTTAAATACTAAAAATGCTGAATACTGAACATTAAACAAGAATACCAACATTAAATAGGCACATTAAAAGTTTTGATTCCCTTGGAATTACAACTTTATTTCCATTCATTGATTGTCAGCAATACACACGTTAAATAGATTTATTGCAAAGGAATGTGAATTTAACATCACATAACATTTTACTTAATACAAATTGTTGATTACTCAAAACATACCACTGCATTAGATCACAATTTTAAACTGGGTACAAATAACATGAATCATATTGTGTTTCCCATTTTTTACAGCACTCAGCAGAAGTGTCACTAGGCACTGGTACATGGGGCGTGTGCCTTGATTCTATTTAACAGTGCCCAAAATTTCCAGTTGGTGTCTTGAAATATCAGAATAGAAAACCATGATCGATATCATAGTGAAATGCCAGAAATTCCCATGCCTGTGGGTTCAAGCTCCTGAAATATCAGAATAGAAAACCATGATCGATATCATACTGAAATGCCATAAATTCCCATGCCTGTGGGTTCAAGCTCTTGAAATATCAGAATAGAAAACCATGATCGATATCATAGTGAAATGCCAGAAATTCCCGACCCATGGCCCAAGGCTCTTGAAAGATCAGAATAGAAAACAATGATCGATATCACACTGAAATGCCAAAAATTCCCATGCCTATGGGCCCAAACCCCGAATCTTTTAAGCACCTAGCAATGCTTCTGGTGCTCAGAAATCAAAGAGGTACACTTACCCAGATTTAATATTAAAAAGTGTGTATGCTTAACAGTTTATTTGTAGTGAATTTTTATGTTAAGCTATGACTATACCTAAATAAAATGTTACAACTCTCAGAGAACCTGAACCATTAAGTGCTTTTTAGTTAATCTTATCGTTAATAAATCTGTGTAATAATGACTTTTTCAAGTTTTTATTCAATCTCCAACTCTCAAAATTTCTGTTGAGCAATTTCAATATCATATCAACATGGATGTTCAAAATAAATATTTTCAGAATCAGAGACTACATAAAAGAAGAAGAAAAAAGCTTGAAAAAAGTCATTATTGCTCAGAATATCAGGTGTTCTAGAAAATTTTGAAATATCCCCCCCCCCCAAATAAAGACAATAATAAAACATTAATTACATTTAACTGGCTTAACTCTTTCATAAAAATGTATAAACTGTGGGCTAGAACACAAAATGAAGCACTTACAAATAAACCAAACAGTTCTTATAATTTAATTCTCTAAAAGGAAAATTGTTAAAACCATTCAAGCTGGACTTTTATAGTAGGTAGCTTTGCACGTTCCTCAAATACGTTAATTAATTATTTTTTATAGAATAATTAAAACAAAAATATTATACAAATATACTCCTCACTATTACATATATGTTGGAAAAGTTTGATAAAGTGCATTCATAGATGTTATAACAAGATGTGATTACCTGTATATCTTAATCCATTTTTTTTACATCAGTATCAAAGACTAATAAATGACTGTATATATCAGCTTGGTCTTGTCACTTACTTAACATTTTAATCCACTGTAACTGTAATTATCTCAGTGATTTCATTCATAAAGTAACATGAACAGGCTTTTCTCATTTAATCTTTTTGTGAAATTTAAGTGAAAGAACTTGCACAAGACATAAAGTCCAAAGCAGAGCTGAAAAAAGAAATACAGCTCGCAAAGCCATGACGAACACATAATATGAGCTTTCTTCGGAAGGTAAGAAATAGAGGTCCACAGTATAGTACAAGAGACAGCGAGCAAATTCCACTAATGGTGCCCAATGCCTATAAATACATGTAAAAGATACAAAAATTATAAATTCTGTTACATTATATAATCATAATAAGAATAACCTTAGTTCAATTACAAGTAAATAACCCTCTTTGTATTATTTTAAAATAACACACAATATTAGCTTTAGGATGATAATTAATGAAACATTTAAAATATTTGTTCCTACTCTTAAGTAGTAACTTATTTTCATAATATCTGTTATTAGTAAATTATACTCATAAACTGACAAAAACAGGACTCTTATTTTTTATATATTTTACAATATCTAAATTTATGAATAACTTTTTTTACATCTAAAACAACTTTAAATTTGTGTTTGTTCATAAGTTTATTCTGATATAAATTGATTCTATTCATTAATGCAAGAGTTTTTGCTTAGTTAATTGTAATAAAAATTAAATCTCTCTTTCAAATTCAAGTCAAGTAAATAATTATTTTATCTTAGGCTTAAGAAGTGTATTTGTTGCATTGTTGTTGTTTTTATGGATTTACTTGACTTCTGTTTCACTTCTGCTGAAAAAATTGACATGTAGCCTAAAATGTCATCTCATGCCAATAAAAAAAAAGTTAAGAGAAGGGGGAGAATAAAATAATGCAGTATTAATTTAAATCAACATATTTAAGTACAATTAAATATACTTTACATACTGGAAAATTATTCAGACATCTTTAAATAAAGTGAGTATGAATTATAAAATATGATACAATTTCAAAATAACTCAAACACCAAATCTTATGAAATAATCAGGAATTATATTTAATGAAATTAATTAAAACATTTGAATAATTTTTTTCAGTATATATAACAATGGAATACAAAAGAACTGTGACAGTTCTTGAACTTGTGTAGGGAAGAATATGTAGTAATTTGAAAAAATATTGATGATTTTTTATTAGGGGAGAAATTGTTTGGCAGTTGACAGATACTTATAAACTAATTAAAAATGCCACGTAATTGAATTTGGTGTTTTTTTTGTTTTGTATGGTGTTTCTCACACCACCAAATTCTGTTGGAGGTGAGTAACCGGAAGTAGGACTGGCATTCTAGTTCAGACACCGGGTGAGCATGTTTCGGTGTGATGGGGATTCGAACCCGCGACCCTCAGATTGCGAGTCGAGCACCCTAACCACCTGGCCATGCCGGGCTTAATTTGGTGGTAAGAATGTTAAACCTGAAAAGTTCTGTCTTTGCTTTTGAACTGTCTTTTTAATGGTGATAGTTTACTTACATATTTCACCTAATACTTCTTCTCTTGTCTTAAAATTCCTTGTTGAAAAAAATAAATTATTAACACTAAAATCAAATATGTGGTATAAGTCATTTAACACATAAAACATATTATTTAAAAACAAAATAGTGTGCGTTAGATTTTTCATGACTAAAATCTCTTTATATTGATTTAACCTATGTTCATATATAACAATTAACTTCTTATACTGTTTGAAAGGTGCCTACTTCTTGTCCATGATGGATCCAAAAGATGTCAGAGAGAGCATGCAGTACATTAATCCGCATATCACTGTCAGCTGATTGAAGCTCTGATTTAATAAGAAAATAAGATTTATTTTTCTAACTAGACAAATAAATGCAATATTAATATATAAAATTATTATTACAATTCAATAACCTATTCCTAAAGACACAATATGTATGTATATAAATAAAATTGTATTCCTGTGAACTTCAGCAGTACATTATAAACAATTTAATCTCTCACACAAAAAAACAAAAGTACAGTTCAATTCTTAAAAAAGCATCATTTTTATAATCATAAGATTACTTTTAAAGTGTGTGTATGTTGAAAAAGACATTCTTAACATGCTCATTATACTGGCAATAAAGGTTGCAAGCACTGTATTAAATATCTACATGCAACACAGTCACTGTTCCTTTTTCATTGGGATTTGCACACTTTCCATATTATAAAAAATGCCACCAGATTGTTCATACAGAGATTACGTAAGCTTGCCTAAGAACTACTGTATTTATTGAATAGCAAGGTATTTCTATTGGGTTCAAAAATCAGTGAAATTAATATACATATAGTAAATTAATTCATTCTACATAAATTATTCTAAAAAATATGATGGTGGAAAAGTGTTTATACAAACCTTTTTAAACTGTAACTTGTCACTTAATTATTTGTTAACTACACAAGAATATAATCACAGACCTTTACGTAACAACTTTGAATAAGATAAGTTTGTGTGGAAGTTTGTCATAAGCTGCACCTTTTTAAACTGTAACTTGTCACTTAATTATTTGTTAACTACACAAGAATATAATCACAGACCTTTACGTAACAACTTTGAATAAGCAAACTTCCACACAAACTTATGGTCTGTGATTATATTCTTGTGTAGTTAACAAATAATTAAGTGACAAGTTACAGTTTAAAAAGGTGCAGCTTATGGAGAAAAAAAACAAAATATTGTATTTTACCATCTTTTAGTAAATCTTAGATTTCCACATTCTGCTGCATTTGTCTGTTGTTAGTATTAAATTAGAACAAATGTTACTAATAACAGCTTTTTTAAAACCTTAATAATGTTGAACAAAAAAAAAAGCTTTAGAAATTACTAGGTGCATTATTTTTTAGTACTTAAACAATTTGTCTTTTGACTTGTGCTTTCACAAATACAACTATACTGAGAGTGAAGTTGGTACGATGAACATGTGGAAAAAAAATGGTTTGTTTCAAAGTTATGTTTATTTTTAAGATAAAAGGCTAGTTATGTCTAAAATCCTAAATGGACCTTCAAAACAAATGCGCATGTCTATAAAATAAAGAAATACATGACCCAAATTTCAATGTATCCTACATGTATGTGTATTTATATATATATTTTAAGTTATATACATGTCCATATTCCATTAAGGCAAAATGAATTATAAGTATATGTGTAGAGGAATAACGTAAAAGTAATGTAATATTACATACACCATGTCTATCTGCCAGGTCCATGAAAGCAGCCAATATTAAGGAAAAGTGTACAAGAACATACACCTTACACCACGTTGGAAGGTGTGGGTTATACCTATCATGAGGAGCACGTACCTATAGAAAATGAAATAAAACTAATTGATTAAACATTTCTTTAAGTTGGTGTCCTATTCAAACTTTGTTATTCTTAAAAATAAAAATATACATTGATTGCTAAGATTTCAATATATAAGCCTTTAATATATAGTTTTATTGCATAACCATCCAGTTACAATTTTCTGTTTAAATAATAAGTTGTTGATCCTGGATTTTTCTGTAATAGCCTACATAACTGTCACTTTTATGTTGCTTAATCATTAACTCAATTAACTGCACCATATATATGCACATATCTTTAGTTATGATGTTTCAAAGATAAACAACTGAAATGTGATAAATACACTATGAACGTTCTGTTTTGTAAAGGTATATTTGCTAAACATTAGAGGTCTGAACTGGCACATCCAAAGTTGGTACCTCTCTTTCTAATGGTTAACTTTAGACCTACTATAGAATGGTAATTCCAAGTAGAAGGTATTTCCTGAATCCATCTTTTTTGTGCCATGACAGCAGTTAACTGAATGTACTTTCTTTTATAACATATATTTACTTTCAATAAAGTGTACGGTCTTACATCAGGGATATCTTCTATCAATCCAAGACGAGGTTTTCCTGGAGTCCATCCTGGACCTTTGAACAGCACTGATAACTTGTTATTAAATCCTTTCACTTCCCAAAAAGTTTTGAAGATGTGTATGAAGTGACCTAACTATCAAATATAAAATTTATTTATTACTTTGAAATTCAGTAATTACCGACAAGAGGCACTTATTAATTACCAGATATGCATGCACAAAGTGACAAAGAGAATAGGAGTTATGGAATTATGTGACAAAATGATATTTTTTAATCATCTATATTTATATGAATTGAATAAAAAGATAATTTACTAATACACTAAATAAGATGAACATTATCAAATGGTTTTGATCCCATTAGTTGAATCTGAATAAGTGACTTACTTTGTTCAAATAAAGTGATTAACAGAACATTCAACGGCATATTTTAAGAGTGTCAAGTCAGTGCATTAAACTTGGTTTTAAAAATGACAGACATTTTGTGCTTTAAAGACATTACGAGATCCAATAACTGAGGAATAACTTATATTTTTTTAATTAAACAGTTTGAAGTTTTTTATTGCTTTTTATATTTCAGTATCTACTGAGAACAATGTAAACATTTCTCTATTGTTATGTGACTAATTATAATTATGTTTTTATCTGAATTTAGTTGCCTACATTATATATGATGAATGAAACCTCGTGTACAAGTTTGTACTGTGAATGAATATTCAGTTGCAAATTTTAATATTAATTGCAGACTGATTTCTTTTATGGCATATGCAATTAAGTTTAGGTGCTCAGAGTTTCACAGAAGTTAATAATTAAGTTTTACATTTACCATGCAATAAAACAACATTTTAAATGTGCAATAATAACTAACACAGCTCTATAACGGGAGCCTAATGTTTTATATTGGAACCAATCTTCTCTTGTGCTTCCTATATATTGTAAAATACCATAATAATAAGTAATCTGGCCTGATCTTCCAGCAAGGTAGAGCTCTGTGAGCTCAGATTGAGAAACATAGCATAGATTCTTGTAACTTATGGCACTTGTATGAGCAATTACAAGTGCAAGAAGGTGTGCTGTACCACTGCTATCAACCACAGAGCTATGGTTCTCAGCCTGTACTACAGATAATGGTCCCTGGTCCATAGAGCTCTAAGGCAAGCGATTCTCCAGATTTTGCATAACACAAAGACGGAAGGTCACAAATGTGTTACTCACAGTTAAAATAACATCTGATGACTGTTCTTCTGGATGCATTTGGATTGAAATGTTCAGCACTAATGTAATGAAATTTCAATCCATTAATTGCCTGACCACAACAACACAAAGTAGTATGAAGATTTATACTCATAATTTAAAAAAAATACAGCCTTATGTGTGAAGAGAAGCAAAGAGGGGCTTGTTCTCTTGGATAGCTAAGTTATATAGAGCATTATCCCTGTTAGACAAAGGTCCTGGGTTCAAACTCCAGTCTTGGAATTTCAGGAATATGAGTCTAACCAGACTCACTTATATATTCTTTATTATTGCTGTATTTAATCTGTATCATGAACCTATAAAAGTAAACTTTCTAACAAACATTACCGTAATAGAAAAAAACACAATAAATAGGAATATGAGTCTAACCAGACTCACTTATATATTCTTTATTATTGCTGTATTTAATCTGTATCATGAACCTATAAAAGTAAACTTTCTAACAAACATTACTGTAATAGAAAAAAACACAATAAATATAAAGAATCTCAGGAACAGGGGCTTGAATCCAGGATCTTTGGCTAACAGGACCAATGGTCTATCTAACTGAGCTATTCAAGAGTACAAGCCATCCTCGCTTCTCTCCATTCATAAGGCTTTTTTTTTAACTATGAGTAGGAAAGCTAATACTTAATCACTACGGATGGTTTTGTAGCGATAGTGTGTTATGCATTAAGATTTGATTTTGTATTCAGTATTATGTTAAATTGTAGCTGCAACTTCGGGGTCTATTAATGTTTATTATAGATTTCATGATGTATTGTATTTTCAAACTTATCATATGCATTAAAGTTTTTATTACACCTATTATATTTATGCTAAAGTTTATATAGGGTATTTTGCAATATTGTGATGATGTATTTATGTGAAGGATTTTCAAAATAGAGATTTAAATTTTTTGTTGGGGGGGGGGGTAATTTCGTTTTCAAAATTATTTCTTGGTTGAAGGGTATTTTGGCATGCAATCATGGTTAAAGTGTGCAGTGCTAGTCACATTGGGTAAGTCTGATGTTGGCAAGTTAAGCAAGTAATGTGAAATTTATTCAGTCTGGAATATGATCTCAACAGATGTAAGTTAAAGATCACCTTAAACATAACTCTCCAATAAAAGCGACTGTCAGTTGTAGCAAGTAAAACATAGTGTTTGTTTCAATAAAGATTGTTAATTGTAACTGTGAATGTTGTTTTAGTCTCTTTATTTTTCAGTTAGTCAGAGAACTCAGAATTACTTTGCAGCGAATACCTTGATGAATCTTCTGTTATTTTGCATACCTAGCTTTTCATTCATAAGATAACTTAGTGCTATTTGAAAATACTACACAGTATATGTTTTTTTCCCACTACTTTTGGTCACCAAATAATAACCTGTACAAAAAGTGAAAACCTGTTTAGAGTCCTGAAGTACCTATTTCTTGTTGGAATCAAAACTATTTTATATGTGAATTAAATAACATTTGGAGTTATAACTATTGGCAATGAACCGAAAGCATAAATCCACATATAGTATGCATGGTTTTCTGTGTATTTAAGGTTTATCTGACCACCTCCAGCCATACACTTGAGTGAAGTACTTTCAAAATATAACTGTGTTGTTACTCTATGTAAATACAGGAAATTTTGAACACTAAGCCTTAAAAGTAATTTTCTGTTTTTTGTTCTATTTTTACTTCAAGCATTGTAATAATTTCTTATTTAAAATGATCAATATCTGATTTTATCAAATTTTAATTTTTATGAGACCAGTTAGATTAGTTTTGGATGAACAGTCTCATTTATTAATGACCATGCATGGATTTAGCTAACACTTTGATCAACACTCATCCTAAGTGTTTCCAACAATACTTTCAGTTGGTCACTTTGTGACTTAATTCTGGAGAGGTTTAAGGAGGATTGGAGGGTAGGAAAACAAAAGGACAGAGAATGATGTGATCAATTAACTTTAGGAGGTTATAGTTATAGGTGATTCTCTGACAAGGCATGTAGATAGAATAGTCTATGGGGTAAATAGGGAGCAAGTAATTAGATTATGCTACCCAGGGGCACAGGTGGAAAATATACCTGATAGAGCAGGAGATATAAATAATGATGCTGTTTTTGCTGTGCATGTAGGGGCTAATGATGTAGAAGAAGGTAGGTTAGAGGAGCTAATTGATAAGTACAAGGGGTTGATAAAAGCATTTAAAGAAAAGGGCCATAATTTAATTGTGGGGATGAAATTATAAGTAGGTTACTAGGGCTGAATGCTAGGCCTAGGTTAATATATCAGGATGAGCACGTTGGCTGGTTGGGCTTATGGGATCAGTTCAATGGAAGAAGGGAGCTTTTAGGAATGGATAGTTTACATTTAATTAGAGGAGGGACTGGCTTGTTTGTAAGGGCTATTAACTCAGATGTCTGGGAAGTGTTAAACTAGAACTGGACAGTGGTGAGGGCCAGGATAAAATAATTGCAAGAAAAATACGACGTAGAGAAAAGTTTAGCATAGGAAATGAGTATAAAAATAATCCTAAGAGAAGGCTTAATTGTTGCAATTATAATGCTAGAAGTATAAGAAATAAAATAGACGACTTTAGATTGCTGGTAGGAATGGCGGATTTTGATATAATAGGAATAAATGAAACATGTTTAAATGTAAAGAATTTTGATTACAGAAATTTCTTTAGAATACAGGGTTATAGGTTATTTGATAAGGATAGAGTACTATATATATAAAGAGAAGAGCAGTTACAAAAGACGTAAAATAACCATGCTGTTAGATGTAACAATTTCTATTTTGTGTTTACATATGATTTTGTTTATCGTTTATGTAATTTTTCCTTCTACCATTTAGTTCAGATAAATTTTTAGTTGTTGGTAGTTCACCTGGCTGACAGTATACATTAAATATAACAGGAGTCACTTTTATATTAATAAATGACACAAGGTCCCCCTAGCGGTAACGTAAGGTCAGGGGCGTCAAGAGCCAGCACGGGCCTTGGGACAAACATCTTCGCCGGTACCCCTTTCTTTCTCTCTCTTTTTTTTTAACATTTTAAAGAACTTATTAATAAGAGGATCCTAAATTAGAACAACAACGGGCTTATAAACAAGATAAAATCATAGCAGCAGCCGTTTTTAACTCACAATATAAGCGTTAAAACGTTAATAAAGTAACAACAACTATCTATTAGTATTAAATCTATAAAGTAACACAAATATATTAATTGTTACTTACATTATTATTTCAATTATTCTTAATGTATCAAGCATCTGTATGAAAAGAAAAGCCAAAAACTATGTTTTTTATGATTAATTGAAGATATAGCCTAAAGATGTTTTGCGAATTTTACAGCATAACTTGGTTTCATTCGCCTTCCTGTCGGCGGGCCTGTGTATGGATACTATAAATTCATGTATTAAATTGACATAAACTGCTTCCTTATACGTTCAGTACACGTAATATCAATTGGAGAAAACGATGAGTAAGTGTAATCTGATATGAGGGAGGACAAAGTCCATTTGCGCGAGTTGCTTAGCGCGTTCGTGTGACATATTTATGGCCGTTATTTATTACTTGTTTACAAAGCTGCAGACGGGCGAGGAGAGAATTCGCGGGAGATTCAAATTTTAGAATCAACAGTACTTTAAAACAAAAGTTAAGGGTGTATATTTGTTTTCACATTTAATTTCAATGTGTAGTAGATTTTGTATTCATCTGCGTGTGCACGTCACAGTTTGTACACGGCAAGGTAAACTCCTGAGACTGTCTTGAGTATTATTATGTAAATCAAATGCTAATTTATATGATACGTAATCTTATGGTCTGACAAGGAAATGAAAGTACATCTGTTCTAATAATAAGCAAGACTAGCCAGCGAAATTAGACAGAGTGATGTGTAAATTTATTGATTATTGAAAGTGATAAGTTTATTTCAGATACTCGTTTAATTATTGTATATGATTTGATGTTTTAAATACATACTGTTGTCTGAAAACGTCTGTGAAACTGTGTAAGCTCTGAATATAATATTATAGATTTGGCAATATTACTTGAAATACTTTAGATTCATTAATCAAACATACGTATAAGTAGGAGAGAAATAATTTCTTACTTTATTTTAATATGACACATTTTATAGTGTAATAATGGTTGTGCAACCTTAATGTTGCAGGTAACTTACCTGTATATAAGAGGGATCAAATGTAGTTACTGGATGGGTTACACCATATACAACTTCATCATTTTCACACTCAAATGTACCAAATATTCTATCCCAGATAATGAAAGTTCCAGCATAATTTTTATCAATACAGTATCTGTTGCGACCTGTTTAATGATCAGTAACTCATTAGTGTTTACTTTTTCAACTAAGACTTCAAGACAAAAAAAATTTCAAATATTAACATTTTTGTATATATTTATAAACCACAGAATCCACTGAAGTCAGCCTAGTATTCAAAACTAACCTGAGATTTTAATAACTTTATCAAGGAAAGCATAATAAGCTATCTTTATTAAATAAGTCCAAGCTGAATCTTACCTTTTTAAATTATCCATGTTGAAGCTCCACAGTATATTAAGTCATCATGTACAAATTATCTCAATGTCTATATACATGGATTTCAATTAAATAACTCCATTCATTAAAATTATAGACTCTGAAAGAATAGTTTATCAGAAGTATGTGTTAGTGGCTAAAGTTCTTTTAAATTTTTGTTCTATTGACAGATAAATGAAAATAAAAAATTACATGTGCACGTTGTTGGGAGAAGATCAAGTATGAAATCAATGGATCAAGTAAGTGGTTGTTTTCTCTTAGTCTGACAGATGTGGTAGTGTAATACGGACAATAACAGAATTTACATATACATGTCTAGTAAATTGTTGCATATCATAAATGAACATCTGATATTTGGAAATTAATAAATCTTAGAAAGTGCTGTCTTTATAAGATATGACAATGAAAATATATTTTATAATTTCTTTTAGTAATAAATATTTACTTCACATAAAGGTAAGTTCAGATATGTTTAACAGCTGCCAGTTATTTCCCAGGAAAGAAAAACCTCATATTCTACGAATTATATAAACTATTTACAATAACTCTTTAAAACTTTTGAAACAAAAAATTACTGAAACATTTAAGTGTTGTGGAGTTTTCTTATTACTAAAAGTTCTCACAACCTAAAGTAAAAAAACCATTAACACATTAAGCCGTGTAGTATACATTATAAATAAATATAGTCATTCTCGCTCTGAATTACTTGAAAGTTTACTAAATACTTACTAGATTTATATTTATATATGTTTGATTTCATTTTTAATAAGTATAAAGGAAAAATATGTAAAAAATAAACATTTTATGCCAGCTATGATGAATATTGTGTTGGGAATTGTATATACAGAGGACTGAATAGTCTACATTGTCTATAGTGTAAGCTGCATAGTCATATGGAGAGTTTGTGAGAAATAATGTTTTTGCAAATATGACCATGATTTACATGTATTTTAAATTAGTAGATCTAAGAACAACAAATGTCTTATTTTCTCAAATAAATATTCTTATTATGATTTATAATACTGTATAACCTAACTTTTTAAATAAAAATTCTAAAAGACCTACAGTCAGTACAAAAAAAAAGATTCAAACTTGTTTTTGTTAATTTCTAAAACCTTTTTGGAAAAAGGAAAATATAGTAAAAATAGTTATTGTTCTTATATTGGCATGTTTACTAATTTTGTTACATAAAAATAGAGACTTGTTTTGTAAACAAACTGTAGGTAATTAAGGAATTATCGCAGCTGTAACTATTGGTTGTACCTTTCGTCCTTTTGCATATATATATTCATAAATCAGTATACTAAAAGTTACCATGATGGACACGATGGTGACTAGGAGTGTTAAAAATGTATTCCAGTGGTCCCAGGCTACTGATAAGCTGAAACACACAAGAATGAAGCAATTATAATTAATTTCACTTCTGAAAACACTTCTTTCCTCAGTTAAATTTTTTTTATTTATTAAAAACAACAATTAAAAAAACAACATTTAAGTATATATATATATATATATATAATAAAAAAATTAAATTTCCAAACAATAATTTCATTTCATTTACTTTTTTTCAGAATGATATATTATTCAAATTGAAGAACAATAGCAAATACATGTACAATAAAACTGGAAAATCCCCACTCTCTTACTTACAAACAATATTTTGTGATTTGTATTTATGACAATGCTAGGGCTACTTGTCATCCTTAATTGTAAATTGCTGACCAGAGGCAAGAAAACCAGTTAGCAGCATCCTACCATCCACCATCCATGCTGAGGGATTGACATACTCTTATAATATATTCATACTTTAAAGTGTGGGAAATGTTTTTGGATTTGAACGTGGCTTGCCAGCTCCAAAATCCATAGATCTAACACCGAGCCAACACGCTCCCTTTTAAAACAGAGATGGATTTCCAGTGACATGAAAGTTTACAGAGGGTTGAGCACATTCTATTAAAATGATTTTGAATATGTAAATCAGCAAGTAACATGACAACCACAGTCATTATAAAGTTGTGGTAAAATGGCATGTATCATAACTACATTTTAACATTATTTGGAATTTTGTGCAATGTATGTGATGCCACTGAAATTGATCACTTTTGGCAAGGGTTTGTAACGGCCTTTTTTCAACATAAAATACTCATACACTAATATTAAAAAGATTTATTCAGATCGTAATTTGTAATTTCAAAAAGGAGAATATCTCTTGTACTTAAAGGCATTGGAAAACAAAGGAACATGTATCAACTTGGAAGCCAGGACAACCCAAAACAAGATCTGTGACAAGTTATACTTCAGCCATGTTAACTAAACAAAATATAGCATCTTTAAATAGGTGGGAATCCAAAAACACAAAGGTCAGTGACAAAAGCCATCGGTGTGTCCCTGTAGGCAACAGTATACAACATAATCAAGAAGAATCTCTCTCTGGAAAAGCAGTACAGTTCATATGTACACAAGTTGCTTCCACAACATATTCATTTAACTTGCAAATACCTTGAGCAACTGAAACATACTGGTCAAGTTGCCAGATACAGAAACTATGAATTTCTTTTGAATAGATTGTTAAAATGGGTGCTGGGAAGCCATAATCTGTGTGTGCTAGATGGCTTATGGAAAGAATCCAGGGAGAGGCAGTGTGCTTTTGAATTGACAGCCTTACAACAGGGCATTTGGGAATGGAAACTACACTGTAGGGCTATTTTCGAAATGCAGGGCCACCAAGTAGAACATGACAGGATGTGGCAACATGGAATGTAACAATGTGATGAGGCTCCAAAATCATTCTAATATAACTTATTCAACATCTGTAAAATAACATTTAAAACACAACTTGTTTCTTCTTTGTAAGTTTACTCATTAGTCATATAGATTACATTATTTATAACAATTATGTATAAGATAATAAAAAAATACATTTAAATTCCAAAACTGAAGCAAAGAAAGTTTTACGTTAAAAAAGACGAAATTTTTGTGTTTAAAAGTATTCAAAAACTGCTTAATATTTCATGCATAGCCATTATGTTATCACCCAATAATTCAGGAAATGTCATTAGTTACCTGCATATTTGACATGACTTGTTATGAGAATGCACTGCTGTATTGGTGCATTATGCACGTATTACTCACCCTGAAAAGGCAGTACCCCTGTTTTACCTTCAGATTCGGTCCTCCATGGGCACAGAAGTACATTATACCCTTTTATATGCTTCTGATAGTGACTAAAATATTTCATTGTCTTCTCATCCATGTAACATGGGGTTAACCCATTAAATAAAGCTAGTAAGGTACTTTTTAACAACTCAATTCACCACCTGTATTTGGGACATGGTTTTCTCTCATAATATATTAGTTGAGCCCTAAGTATGTATAGCAAGACAACTTTTTTAATGATTTGAATCAGCACCTAATCCTTTATGGTCAAAGAACTAAACATCACATTACTCACAATTATGGCTTTAAAGTTGCAACTAAAATGTATATCTTGGATTTACTTACCTCTGTGTGAATCCAGAACTGGTAGATGAGATTAAACTGCTGATGAACCAGAAAGATAGATGGGGGAATTCCCAGAGCTAAGGGCAGATAGAACATCTGAAAAGAAACACACAAGCCATGTTTAAATAAACAAAGTATCTGAAATATATCTGAATTTAAACAATCTGTTTTTTGAAACAAAGAAAAAAAAACTATTGTTACAGATCTTTACTTTAAGTTAGCTAATAGAAATACTTAACAGCCAGTTTTCCAATGTTATTCATTTCACAAGACATATGAATGAGGTATCTTAACTTTCTATTAATTCGCCTCCCAGTGACACAGCAGTATGTCTACAGACTTACAATGCTAGAAATTGGGCTTCGAATACCTGTGATGGGCAGAGGACAGATAGCCCATTGTGTAGCTTTGTGCTTAATTAAAAACAAATAAACATACCCTATTAATTCTTCCAAAGACATTAGCTAGTCATTATATTAGGACCTATGTAACCTTTCAGACCTTACAAACAAGCCAGTCCCTACCACATTTGAATGTAAGCTACACATTCAAAAAAGCTCCCTATTACCATGAAACTGATCCCATAAGTCTAAATAACCAGTCTGGTTGTCTTTACATATTACGTCTAGTGACTTAATTATAATTTCATCTCCACAAATAGATCTTGGCTGTATACCTGATATAATTCAATTATGCAAAGACTTGAAGGGGGAAAATTCTATTTGCATACAGGTACCTAATATTTTATGGAATCTATATATATATACACACAAATATGTGTTTCTGTGTGTTTGTCTGTTATCTAACTACTCTTAGGTCGCTGGACCAATCCCAACCAAACTTTGTAGAATGATAGTTTGGAACAATGGATAAATAAGTTAATGGGGGTTTATAACCCCCTCCACCCCCCAATATTACTGTTATTGAGCATTTATCATCTTTGACGTAAGTTAACGTTAAGTAAATTCATAGATGGCGCCACGTCCTTAGATAAAAAACTTCATCAAGTTTTCTACAACACAACATACAGTGTGGGGGAGGGCACATAAACGTATTATATATCTCAGAGAGTGCGCTAGCGCAACTCTATGGAGGAATGCAATGGGGGAAAAAAATGGCCACCACTATTGCAATAATACAAAAACTCAGATGAAGTTTATACTTCAACAGCCACTATAAGGCTGATATGAAGAGCCGTTTCTTCCTACTTTTACCCGTGACCTTACAACTTCGGCCCTTAAGACATTTCTGCGGCCAATGACCGTCCATTAATTAATAACGTAAAACAGTGTGGAGGGGATATTAAGAGCTGGGTATTAAAAGCGGATAACAGAAAGCACCCTTGCCGCCACTATTTTGGCCGCTATCTCTTCGTACAAAGTCATCCTGACCATCGCGCAATGCATACCGTGTTTTAAGTATATAACATAGTGAGTTTTTAAAGTTTATACAACATTTTTGGTGAGGTAATAATGAATACTGTAATAATACGTTATGTTATATATAAATTGTGTGAACGTTAGGATTCTTGTTTTATTTATCATAGCATCCACTCCCACATTTTTTTAAATTCATAAATCGGATAAAGAACGGACACCTCAGCTTATGGGAAAACAAAACAAAAATCAACATCCTAATACATACATAAAAAGAAACGTATATTATTTTCAGGGCTTCTGATTTTCGATTTTAACCGATAAAACGTCCAATCAAACAGCAACAACATGTCACGGGAAATATATTGGCGAAAAGATAAATTTAATAGAATAACTTAATTACGTGATGTACGTGTGTAAGTTAGAAATTAAATCAAAACCAACTTTTATCTGATCTACATGTACTTCTTTCTTACTTTAGTAAATAAAATGCCCTAACATAACACGAAATTCAAAACAAACAAACAAGTTTATACTTTCATTTAGGTATCTTAAAATCGGTGGTTTAATTTTTAGTTTTATGTAAACTTCTTAAAATCAATGTATTTCGGAGTTTTTTTTTAAAGTTTGAAGAAATACTTCCAGTGTACTTCTATAACGCAATTTGGATCTCCAATGGATTTCCCTACGTGAGGTGCATTTAGGTATCTTAAAATCGGTGTTTTAATTTTTAGTTTTATGTAAACTTCTTAAAATCAATGTATTTCGGAGTTTTTTTTAAAGTTTGAAGAAATACTTCCAGTGTACTTCTATAACGCAATTTGGATCTCCAATGTATTTCCCTACGTGAGATGCATGGGGTATGTTTTACGTAATAATGTTTTCAAGTTTGGTTTGTTTGTTTTTGAATTTCGCGCAAAGCTACACGAGGGCTATCTGCGCTAGCCGTCCCTAATTTAGCAGTGTAAGACTAGAGGGAAGGCAGCTAGTCATCACTACCCACCGCCAACTCTTGGGCTACTCTTTTACTAACGAATAGTGGGATTGACCGACATTATAACGCCCCCACGGCTGAAAGGGCGAGCATGTTTGGTGTGACGGGGATTCGAACCCGCGACCCGCAGATTTCGAGTCGAGCGCCCTAACCACCTGGCCATTGAAGTTTGGAAAGCAAATTTATCGCTAGACACAATGAATAACCATGGGTGACATGGTAGCCATGTAGCCTTAGCTGTAATTTACATGCATGTCATTGAGGTTAAACAACCCGCGACTAGGCATTTTGGTGGTAAACAGCCGCCTGCACTCTGGCTGCGTGTTTATTGACGATATTTATGAGATTTGCAATGATAACTTAAACAACTTAATTCGTTTTCTAAACCAGGTTCACGTTTATTTCATATTTACTTTCGAATATACTCTACTAAGTCAGTGATTTCTAGACACCTGTGCAGGTGTACTGGATGATAAGTTGGTTGGATTGTATGTTTATATAAAACTCTAAAAAATGCTGCTGCTTTTATATTATTCTCTCATCACTCGTAGGCCACGAAGAGAACTTTGATTTGTAGCCGATTACCGAGACTTTCACATAGCTGTAATAATCCAGGTGATTTGGCGAATGCGAGGGTAGATTGCCGGGATATTTTGATATTGAATAGTTATCTTGAAAGACTGGTTAACACAATTTTCACCAACAAAGATAAAAGAACAAGCCTCAAGAAGAAAATGTTGTATTTCAAATACACTTTACTAGTCCTAAGGTTAATAATACTATTACGAATGCCACGAGGGAATCCGGTTTGTCTATACGCATGATATAATAGTCTGGACGCTTAGCATTTAAACCAGCTGATCACTGACAGAAAACAAACAAACAAAAACTGTATAGCATGTACCCTAACATATTTGAGAAAGTGTTTGTAGAGAGATGTAGTTTACAGTATCATTTGTGACATACTTGTCATGGGAAGTATATTGGTGACAAGAAAGATGCACAGAACATCTGAGTACTACGATGATGAGCGCTAATTAACAACCACGAATTGCCTAAATCCTTTTAGGGTTAAAATACAAAGAAGACGTCACAGTTTTCTGGACAGAAAGTCCCTTCTCATTGGATTTGAGTAGCCTTCAATTATCAGGAGTAGAGGTTTGCCAGTTTAATTAAATAGTTTATATATCTATATATGTGTGTATGAACGTCTATTACTTTCTGCTTTATATGTTTTTAAAGTTTATAAATATGGTTATAACTACATTTACAGTTTGGATATACATATTTATTAGGTGCGACTGTTAAAGAGTTTTTGTTTTTCGCTGTTAAATGAATATTTTCTTAACCGTGTATATATATTTTTGTCATGCATTAATTACTGTTAGTTTTATTGTTGATAACGTGATACATGGCTGCGATACATGCCATTGTATTATATCACCTGTTTGTTGTGCTAAGACTAGTTTCTGTTCAGCAAGGCGTCATCATTTTGCTAAAGTCCTAAGGTAAAATATTAAGAGAATAAAGACCTTTCACCGAATACCCTATGCCACCTGAATTCTACTAATAATATACTGGTACCTCAACAAAGATTTAATTTACTACATGATGTACGTTAACTAGATTAGCCTAACTTCAACAATCGCCTTATTTGTAATGCTCCTGATGGCTTATAATATAAATCATGATGATATCCCCGATAAGGCTTAGACTATAAGGCTTAGAGTCTAAGCCATGGAGACGAACATAAAGACATCATTTAATTATACTCTATATTAATGCAACTGACTGTTCTTAAATATGCATCTCTACCTATATATCACCAGATGAAGTTCGCATTTATACATCGTAGCGTAATTCGATCACCACCCACCAATAACTGATACACAAAGGAAATATACATGTGGAAGCGTATTGATGTAAGCTGTGTTTTTAAGGTTTTAATTTAGAATATGTTTGCTAGAGGGCGCAAGACGCTATGATCAGGAAAATTGGTTTAGTGAACAGAAGGCGAGAGCGACATAAATACGAGTGAGTAGTTAATTAGTAATGAGTTATTGTGAAGTATTAAATGAGTAACCAGTTAGTGATTCAGATCAGTGTTAGTAGTGAGAATTATCGCGTCAGTTCAGTTACTCGATCGATTAGCAAGGAAATATTGTAAGTAAGTACACTTTATATTTCTGAATTAGGCTTACATTCGTTTCGGGGTTTATGTTAAAAAGTTTATGTATTTGAAATTACGCCTACAAGCGAAAGTGGTTGTAAACGCTCATTAAAACAATAAATTAATTCTTATTCTTAACATTGTTTAACGCAAATTGGAGTATGTTATGAGACATTTCTATAAATGTAAATAAAATCACGACCTATATCTCCAGAATGTAACTTTATTAGCTCAATATTTCGCTATTATAGCTTCGTCAGGAGCTATCGATATCCTACAAGTTCCCTAATCCAGTTATATCTAAATTTAGATTCTGGTCGTGATTTTATTCACATTTATAGAAATAAATTAATTCGTTATAATTACTTGGACTGGACTGGATATTATTTTTACTAAATAATCCAAATGAAACTTCCCACGATACAACACATTACAACACTGGTGCCAAAAGAGAGATTATTTGGGTGAAAATAAAACAACCTTGATAAACTTCAACTTTCAAGATGACAAGGCGAAGCGAGATAGGAAATTTACTGGAGTTGATGAAACAGTGAAAATAATGACAAGTAAAAAGACAAGTAAAATTAGAAGAGTAAGAAGAAAATTAAAAGAAGGCCAAGAATAAAGGGACAGGAATTAAACTTAAAGGAAAGAGACGTAACATTTAAAGAAGAATTAAGAACAAAGATAAATATGATTGAAGACAAGATCAATGAATCTATCGGAGAAGTACAGAGGAACTAAAATAACAAGAGTGAAAAGATATAGTTGATTGGTTGTTGCTAAGCGCAAAACTACACAATGGGCTGTCTGTGCTCTGTCAACTATTGGTATCGAAATCCGATTTTTTTGCGTCGTAAGCCTTTTGACTTACCACTATTGGGAAGGGGGGAGCAGAAAATCTGTAATGTCAAAATCGAAGAAGCACAAAAAGAAAACAATAAGAGAATGTAACATTTAGATAAAAAAATAATAAATGCAAGGATTAAACCAACCATATATCTTTCTGCATCTACCCAAAAATTCCAACCTACACATCTCCTGTGCCATCTGTTACTGCGGGTTTTTCCTGGACTAATCCATCTTTGTCACCATAAAATTCAGTTGCAGAATTTAGCTGGCCAATTCAACAACATCTTCCGATTGAGAAACCAATGGACTTTTATGAAATATACTGTGGGAGGTATATCAGGTTCAATCAGAAATAATTTCCAAAGTGAACGATTGAAACAGTGAATGAAAAGTTATTCATCATGTTGCCCATTTAGAAGGACTATGCAGGCATATATATATATATATATATGTCTTTTCCACCTTCTTTAGTGATACAAAATGTTTATTTTATAATTCTTCACTTCTAATAAATAAACTCAGTATTCTGAGAATTGTTTAGTCTCGAAGCCTAAGTTCAAGAGAGGTCCAGTTCAATCTACACTTTGATCAACGTATGTTATTGGGTTATACTAGTTTCGGAGAATTCCACTCCTCATCAGTGACTCTGAAAACAAGTTAACCAAAGAAAGATAAGCTGAACCTATATTATAGTGAAAAGTATCAATCATTTTGTTGGTGTGAGCGTGCTTTGTAGTCACTATGAGAAAACCTATACTTAACTATACTTAATCTTTGACATAAGTTAACGTTAGCTACATTTATAGATGGTGCCAAGTCCTTACACAAATAAAACATTAAATACATTTTCTATAACGCAACATAAACAAGGTGTGGGGGAGGACACACAAACATCTAATGTCTCAGAGAGTGCATTAGCACTCTTTATGGAGGTGTGCAATGAAAACAAAATGCCGTCACTATTTCAATAATACATAAACTCAGCTGAAGTTTCTACTCCAACGTGCACCATAAGGCTGGCATGAAGAGGCGTTTCTTGATTTATACCCAATTCCTACTTTTACTCGTGACGTTTCAACTTCGGCCCCAAGATACTTCTGCGGCCAAAGACCGTCAATTAATTAATCACGTGAAACACTGAGGAAGGACATAAGAGCTGGGTGTTGAGAGTGGGTAACAGAAAGCACCCCTAATGCCACTACTCTTAATACAAAGTCATCCTGACCATCGCACAGTGTATACCATGTTTTAAAGTATATACATA